CTTTTCCAGCCTTGTCAGCACCTGTCACACGCACACTCAGCTTTGCGGAAATTATGGGCATTCTGTCGAAGACTTCTGGGGAAGTAGAAAACACATGAATCTTACTGTTCAATCACCCACTTCCCACACGCAACAATAGCTCATGGGTACCACAGATAACTTTGCCAAAGTTCTCTGCCAAAGTTGAGCACGTGAAGCTTGCAGCTCCCACTACATCGCTCTGACCAAGAAGGGTAAAAGAATAGCAAAGAAACAGCACTAACAAAGTTTAGACCCATAAATTTTGAAGGTCTAGCTACCATATTATTACCCACAAGGGTAAAGGAACAGTACCACTGCTGGATAATTGGAAAGTCCCTGTGTGTCAACCTCTGTGCTTCGTGGCAAGGTAGACTAGCAAACATGCCCAACCTTTACTCACATTCGAGAAAACACTCCCAATAAGATTGCTTGCTCCAAAATCGAAGAGGCACCGTCCTCCGAATCTCGAGAGCCAGACTCCCAACATGACTACTTTCTTAAAAAATCGAAGAGAGGGTAAAGGAACAGTACCATTGCTGGATAATTGGAAAGTCCCTGTGTGTCAACCTCTGTGCTTCGTGGCAAGGTAGACTAGCAAACATGCCCAACCTTTACTCACATTCGAGAAAAACACTCCCAACAAGATTGCTTGCTCCAAAATCGAAGAGGCACCGCCCTCCGAATCTCGAGAGCCAGACTCCCAACATGATTACTTTCTCAAAAATCGAAGAGACACTGCTCCCCGAATCTCGAGAGCCAGACCCCCAGCATGATTGCTTTCTCAAAAATCGATGAGGCATCGTTCTCCGAATCAATCGAAGAGGCGCTCGCTTTCTCAAAAGCTGGGCTGCTCAGAGACCACGAGGGCCGATCTCAGAAATCGAAGAGGCACCTACTTTTCTAGCCTTGTCAGCACCTGTCACACGCACACTCAGCTTTGCAGAAATTATGGGCATTCTGTCGAAGACTTCTGGTGAAGTAGAAAGCACATGAATCTTACTGTTCAATCACCCACTTCCCACACGCAACAATAGCTCATGGGTACCACAGATAACTTTGCCAAAGTTCTCTGCCAAAGTTGAGCACGTGAAGCTTGCAGCTCCCACTACATCGCTCTGACCAAGAAAGGTAAAAGAATAGCAAAGAAACAGCACTAACAAAGTTTAGACACATAAATTTTGAAGGTCTAGCTACCATATTATTACCCACAAGGGTAAAGGAACAGTACCACTGCTGGATAATTGGAAAGTCCCTGTGTGTCAACCTCTGTGCTTCGTGGCAAGGTAGACTAGCAAACATGCCCAACCTTTACTCACATTCGAGAAAACACTCCCAACAAGATTGCTTGCTCCAAAATCGAAGAGGCACCGTCCTCCGAATCTCGAGAGCCAGACTCCCAACATGACTACTTTCTCAAAATCGAAGAGAGGGTAAAGGAACAGTACCATTGCTGGATAATTGGAAAGTCCCTGTGTGTCAACCTTTGTGCTTCGTGGCAAGGTAGACTAGCAAACATGCCCAACCTTTACTCACATTCGAGACAACACTCCCAACAAGATTGCTTGCTCCAAAATCGAAGAGGCACCGCCCTCCGAATCTCGAGAGCCAGACTCCCAACATGATTACTTCCTCAAAAATCGAAGAGACACTGCTCTCCGAATCTCGAGAGAGTCAGACCCCCAGCATGATTGCTTTCTCAAAAATCGAAGAGGCATCGTTCTCCGAATCTCGAGAGCCAGATACCACAGACCACTTTTTCAAAGTGCTCTGACAGAGTTAAAACATGTGAAACTGGCAGCTCCCACTACCGTGCTATGACCAAGCAGGGTAAAGGAATAGCATTACTACTTGTTGTTAGGGAGACTCCTATATATGTCGACCTCCATCCCCAACGGACAGGCAGACCTGCAAAAATGCTCAACCCTTCATCATATCTGAGAGGGCACTCCCAACGAAGCCTTTCGAAATATTCAGCTTTCTTTCCCCCCGATAATACCTCTGCAAACAAGCTATACTAGAGCAAGAATATCTCATATCATCAGGGTTAAAAGCAAGAGTATCCCATATCATGCTTTTTCCCTGTCTTTTCTTTTTTGGCCTTGTTTTTACCTGCAAGACAAGGAGAAAGAGAGCAATCAGTCAGCACTTGGAATCAAGCTTCCAGCCAGGAACTGACTGCCTGGAACCCCTTACCTGATTACTTACCTGGCATTGCTCTCGAGTACTCATCTTCAACATCTTATGTTTCCAGGGAAGATTCCGCATCTGCTTGAGGAACAGATAGGGCAAGTGCGAAGGATACAAGGAAGCATGTGGAGACAAGCGTAACAGCACACGTGCCGATACATCCATTACTCTGTCAAAAGCAAAAGTATCCCATATCAGCAGGGTGGAACGTACTCTAGATTTGATGGACTTGTTTTGACCCTCAAATTCTTCAGTCGGCCTTATACTCTGGAGGAAACCAGAAAACCCTCCAGCTCAGTTCAAGAATAAGCCTGTGGAAAGTTACTTCTTCAAAAGCAAAAGTATCTCATATCATCTCTTCTCATTTTTCTTCTCTTTATCCTTCATGCTGCTGCAAGATGGGGAGAAGGTGAACAATCAGTCGGAGCTCTGATTGCTTACCTTGTCTGTCACCTCTTTCAGCAGACCCCCTAGCTCGGCGACTTGGGGGACTCCTACTACATGGTTTGTATCGCGCTTGACCAAGCCTGAAACTACAAGTAAGCTTCAAGTGAAATTGATACATTACCTTGTGCATCTCCACCAGTTAAAGATACCACCCCTGGATGGAGGAAGAGTACTTCCAGAGAAGATGCCACATCTACCTATGAGACAGATAAGGCAAGTCAAGACGACACCACACTCCGATACTTAGAAGTTTCGTGATTACGAGATCATTCTCCCACAATATTTTCCTAATGTCATTTGTACTAAATCATTCACTTGTACTCACTAAAGGAGAGCTTGAACCTATGTACTTGTGTAAACCCTTCACAATTAATGAGAACTCTTCTATTCCGTGGACGTAGCCAATCTGGGTGAACCACGTACATCTTGTGTTTTGCTTTCCTATCTCTATCCATTTATATACTTATCCACACTAATGACCGGAGCAATCTAGCGAAGATCACAAAAAGCGACCGTTTTCGCTACCTAGGATCTATCTTGCAAGAGAACGGAGAATTAGATGGAGATCTCAACCATAGAATACGAGCTGGATGGATGAAGTGTAAGAGTGCATCCGGCGTGTTGTGTGACCGTCGTAGGCCACTGAAGCTCAAGGGAAAATTTTATAGGACGGCAATAAGGCCAGCGATGTTGTATGGCACAGAATGTTGGGCGGTGAAGCATCAACACGTACACAAAATGGGTGTAGCGGAGATGAGGATGCTTCGTGGGATGTGTGGGCACACGAGAAAGGATAAGATTGGGAATGAGGATATCCGAGGTAAAGTAGGAGTAGCCGAAATTGTAGGAAAGATGAGAGAAAATCGGCTCCGGTGATTTGGACATGTGCAAAGAAGGCCGACTGACGCTCCGGTTCGAAGATGTGACTACGGGACAGAGGTTCAGGGCCGAAGGGGTAGAGGAAGACCTAGGAAAACTTTGGAAGAGACTCTAAGAAAAGACTTAGAGTACTTGGATCTAACGGAGGACATGACACAAAACCGAGCGCAATGGCGTTCTAGGATTCATATAGCCGACCCCACTTAGTGGGAAAAGGCTTTGTTGTTGTTGTTGTTGTTGTTGTTGTAGTTTACCTTTATCAAACACAACGTGTTTCTTCACACTTTTTATGACCAAATAATTTTTTTAATATGGATTTGATTCTTTACAAATGAGTACTATAGATGCTTCAACTGGTTAGTTGAATGTAGGAAATGGAAAAAACTATGGAAAAAACTACCAAGACAAGAAAATTTTGAGAGAAATCCTTCACTAAAACATACATATATAACGTTTGGTTCAAATCACAATAATACATTTTTTTTTCTATCTAGGTTTTGGCAACATCATGTGGCTAAGAGTATTTGTGTAAAAGAATTTATTTTTGTTAAACATGACCCACATATATATGTATGGTATCTACACAAAGTTAACCAAAAACAATAGCAAGATTCTGAGACCAACAAAAGAATTAAGAGGTCGAAAAAACTATAGGCATGTTTCAATTGAAGCACCTGGAGAATTTCAAATGCGCACGAGGAGGAAAGAATTGAAGCATGAGGTTGGCATTTCAAATTTTATTTTGCAGCTCCTTTGTTGTTGTCATGGTTTTTTTTTTTCTCTTACGTTGAAACCCTACGAACCAGTTACCAGTTCCGTGACAGAAACATGCATCACTGCCTGATTTGGTCCAACAATCCCCATGTGGCTGTGCCTACGTGGACATGCCGTTTTTAACGGCCAAACCAATTACCAAGCCGTGCGAGTCAAGCTCAATGGAAGTCGAACTGATCATATCGTACAGTGAATCTCACTCGAGGAGTCCGGGCCAGTACTAGTGCGCATACCTTTGGGATCATTGGATATGAAACTGACCCCACCTAACCACATCTTTCTTACTCGTCATCATCCTACCGTCCATCGCTTGACCCTCTGTACCTTCTCACTTTTGGTGCAGTTTTTCAAAGGGGAAGATCTCCGAATAAGTCTCATCCTAGAATCATCTCAGCAGTCGTTATGTAGTGTAGAAGAAAAATGTTTACAAGATAAAACTGTAATTTAAATGTAAGAATAAACTTTAAGTGGCACTTTACCACAATGATAAAAAAAAATTGTGCCTTAGATTTTCAGCGTGAGTTTGAATCTCGTTGGCTTCTTAATCTAACATCTAAGGACTAATGTTATTTTCCTATAAAAAAATAAAATTAAGAATGAACTACTGCTGGTATGTAATGAGTCAAATGTTTAATTTCTTTGTCTTTTGATTATTTGCATGAACTCACTTATATATTAATAAAATACTTCTCTTATTCTAATACATACAATAATATGCAAACATGTTGCATTAGACTTTCTATACCAACATATATACCATCTCTCTACCTCTCTCTTATAAAGTACTCTACCTTTTGATTGCTCTCCCCTGTGATTCAAAGGTGGACTTGTATGTTAAAGTTCTCTCTCTCTCTCTCTCCCCTTACAAAGTACAAGTGTGAAACACTTTCATCTTCTTTACTTTCATTTTTCTCAAATCTTTTTCCTCATCACATAAAGCACTAATATGTACATACTGTACTCTCTCTCTCTCTCTCTCTCTCCACATGCTCTACACTTTTTGTTATTATAAAGGGACCATCCCTAGCTCCTTCGAAAAGCAACTACAAATTGGCACCCACTTACAAAGTGAGACTAAGTGAAACAGCTAACTCTCTCTGATCTTCTCACAAGCAGATCACAATGAAGCTTACTATCAGACCCTCCTCACTAGTCCCTACTCCAAAACACAAGGCAACATTCACCTGCTACACCCTCACTCAATTACCAATTGTAAACCCCAATCAGATGACCTTCACTCACAACCTTCCCAACTGGCAACAATTGCTCAATCCAGTTGACATTAGATCCCTAGCACTCACCCCTATCACCTCCATAACCACCACCACCACAACATCTACTGCTGCCTCCTCCGCCGCAGCTGCCAAACAACCCATTCGCAAAAATTGGATGGAGTACCAAGGCTTCAACAACTGGGAAGGTCTTCTCGACCCTCTAGACGCCAATTTACGTGGCGAGATTATACGGTATGGACAATTTGTCGATGCTGCATACAAGGCGTTTGACTTTGATCCGGACTCTAATTCATACGCAACATGCAAGTACTCGAAAGCCTCCTTGTTTGAAAACTCCGGGCTTCCGGGAACTGGCTACCGGATTACAAAAAATTTACGTGCCACGTCCGGCATCAAGCTTCCTAGCTGGATAGAAAAGGCTCCGAGTTGGGTCGCGACACAGTCCAGCTGGATTGGCTACATGGCGGTATGTCAAGACAAGGAGGAAATTGCAAGGCTTGGAAGACGGGACGTTGTGATTGCCTTTAGAGGTACAGCAACGTGCTTGGAGTGGCTCGAAAATCTTCGAGCAACTCTCACCCAACTCCCGTCCGTACTTAATAACTCAGGCCTGGACAACTGTGAACCAATGGTCGAAAGTGGATTTTTGAGCTTATACACTTCAGGAACCGACTTAATCCCGAGCTTGCAACAAATGGTACGCCAAGAGATTGCACGGTTGCTTCAATCCTACGGCGACGAGCCTCTCAGCATAACATTCACTGGGCACAGCCTTGGCGCCGCGCTAGCAACGCTCGCAGCGTGCGACATTAAAACTACGTTTAACCCGTCACCACTCGTCACCGTCATGTCGTTTGCCGGGCCACGTGTCGGAAACAGTAGCTTCCGCCGCAACCTGGATAAGAAGGGCGCAAAAGTTTTACGCATTGTGAACTCCGACGATGTAATAACTAAAATACCGGGTTTCGTAATCGACGACAATGAAAGGCGCCACAAGGCGTGCGATGGTGGGTTCCGAAAGGCGGTAGAGTTTCAGAACTGGATCCAGAAGAAGGTGGAGGACACGCAGTTGTCGTACGCGGAGGTTGGGAAGGAGCTCAGGTTAAGTAGCAAGGACTCGCCGTATCTGATGGGCACCAACGTGTGCACGTGTCACGAGCTCAGCACGTACCTCCACCTTGTCGACAATTTCCAGAGCTCAAAGTGTCCGTTCAAAGCCACGGCCAAGAGATTATTCAGCAAAAAACACTAATTAACTTTAACAAACCGTAGAGAGTAACAGCTGACGACATCGTTTTAGTCATCTTCTCTGTACATACGAACGTATTTCCCGCCAAATTAGGGGCAGAGGGGGTCTCAATTTTTTGTAATTACAAAACGAGAGAAATTAACTAATTAATCATTGGTTTGTGTTTGACTTTTCTAACGTCATGGAAATGAAAGTGACATTAATTGACTTATCTATTACACGGCTAGTTAGCTTAAAACGCAGCTCGGCAGTGGCAGAAATGAATCATCTCTATGCACTTTTAGTGCAGGTTTGATCTCCATTGATTTTTCTCCCTTCTAATAACAAACAATTTAACCTACTACTGTTATCATTTGTAAAAAATAAAATAAAAAGTTTAAAACATAAGAGAAGGACTTCAACCTAATCGGGTATCTTTATGGCTGCATTGTTTGAAATACAGCCACATTAACAGCCGTGCTTAAGTTTCTCACTTGCAAACTAGTGAAGTTGCCATGAAACCATTTTTCTTTTCCTTATGCTTTTACTCTCCCCAAAACACACAGAAATACCAGCACTTGTGCACTCACAAATTCACAGCAGGAGCAGGGGCTCTTTTTAAGGAAAACTAACAAAAAGTCCAAAAACTTCTCTTTTAACGAAAAACTCTTTTTAAAGGTATAGTAAATAATGTTAATTAAAAGTAAAAATGTGATTTTTTGTTAAAAATAAACAATATCAAAAGTATTTTATTAAAACTCTTTTCTTTTTATACGTAGACCACCGGCCCATGTTTTGGCAAGAGCAAGACTAAAACCCAAAAAGGCCAATATTGTTTGTTTCTTACTGGAGGGGCATAGAAGACTGAAGTACCCTTGGTACCGACCCATTATTACGGAATATTGTCCTTTGACTGCACCGACTTAGGACGCAGAACGAACGCGTCGTAGTCCTGCTAGTTTCGTTGTTGACGTAAATGGAACCGGGGTAGCGCCGTCCATACCCATACACTTTGTCAGTAGCTTTGGGAGAAAATGACCGGAATAACCTTCGGCGCCGTTCTGTAACTGCTTCAGAGCCAAAGCTTTATAACGCACGAGCATAAAACTGTGGTCAAACCTGTATATATGACTAATCGTCGACAACCCAACCGATGTCAACCAAAGGCTCGGCGAGCTGTCCTCCAACATTTCCCGATGGTAATGCCAGGGCCTCTTCAGTACTGACGACTCTTGATGCCAAGGAGACCAACGAGACGAGACAGACTATACACTTGATAGCGTTTTTATTTGGATTATTGTGTTTCTGTTGAAGACCTATGAAGAAAGAACAAGGACGAGGAGTACTGCTACACTTATAATTTATTTGTATCAAAAAAGTTATTCTTACCATTTATTTATACCATCATTTGTATTACCTCTTTAATAGAGATGAGATATACATTCGTTGACGGACCCTACATCTATTAGAAAAAATACAAATGATGATAAAAAAAAATGATAATATTGTGACAACCCATCCCTAATTTTACAATTTTATAAATTTTAAAAGCGTGATTTTATGAAAATGCCCTTAGAGGCGAGGGTGTTGACTTTCATTGACCAATGTATAGTGAGACGTACGCAATATTCCTTTAGTGTATTCTTGAAGTACTCAACGATATGGATGCGTAGGCACAAGCAGAAGTGAATTTGGAGTTACGATTAAAATTTTATTGAGTTGCCAACCCGAAAGTATTTTGAATAAAACACTATTTTTATTACTAAATGATTTTTATGCCACATGTGTGTGGCTGAGTGGGAAAAATAAGGGAGTCGGGGAGTAAAAGAACTAGGGAGGACAGGGAGGGCTACTGCCCAACCGGAGGAGAGGAAATGAGGTGTGGTTTGCCCAATCAGGAGAAGAAGAAGGAACTGTCCAATTAGGAGAGGGGAAAGGAGAGAAAGGAGAGGAGAATGAGAAGGAGGGGAACCAACCCGGACCCCTGCAAACCGTGACCCAACCTTCGACCCATTTCCTCCATGTTTTCTGATGGCCTTCTCGCCGTTTTTCTGGTGAATCAAGGCAATCCACCATGTGTATACAGCTCGGTGACCTTCCAGCTTGTATCTCCACCCAAATTTGATGGGTTTTGGTTCTCGTATCACCAAGATCAAGCTCGTTGAGTTTTTGGTGTACACAACAGCAATTTGCCATTTCTGAAGCCACTATTGTCAATTACCACTACCATTAGTCTTCCATTGCACCCAGGAACATGAACCAACTGATGGTTGGGGCGACGGAGCTTCAGAATCGACGAATCGAAGCACACCCTTTATAGGGTTTCCGGCGGGTTTGAGACAAATTGGAACACTTCCTGGCCGAATTGGACCTCAGCCTAGGTATAAAAATTGTTCCCTTTGATTTTCTCTACATGCCTGTAAAATTTGGGAATTTTTTTAAATAGTATAATTTTCCGACGAGTCAGAGCGGCTGGCCACTGTGTGCAGCGGCTTGTGGGCCGAGGCACCACCTACCATTCCTAGACTAATTTGTTTACTCTAATTTCATATGTGAGGTTCGATTGACAAAATCTCGTCGTAAGACTATAGTTTTGATAGAGACCGCCACTTGGATATTAAATTAATCGACGATTCGACAGTTGGATTGTCACTAAACTTTATTGTGTTGTAGAACATAATATTTGAAGACCAAGAAAACTTACGGATTGAGAATCCGACATGCAGATTTTCCCGAACTGGATTTGTAAGCTCTTAAAATAAAACGTTGGCCGCCACTTAATTCTAGCAATTAGCGGAGATCCGACCGTTGGATCGTAATGAAATTTTAATATGATGTTCTAGAAGCATAATGTGGATCTTTGGAAGTTACGGATCAGAAATCTGAGGTGCAGATCTTCTGGATTGAGTTACGTAGCATTGTGGATCCTACCGTTAATCTTTGACCGACGGTTGACTTTTGGTCAATGAGTTTCAAATCATTCTAGAACGTCCTAAGCGATGTATTTTATGTAAGATACATGTTCTATCGATAGAAATTATGAGATGTTATTTGATAATTGTTCTAGGCAACGATGGTTCATGACGCCTCGATATTCGTGGTAGAGAATTGTAGCGCAAACTTCAGGTGAGTGACTCTTTTCCTTTTTATCGTATATATATATTTTATAGTTCCACAAACGCTTTTAAATTGATTTATGCGTTTTATGCCATGTCATATATATATATTTATATATTCTAAAATACTATGATATGGTTGAGTTTTAGATTGCATCATGGCATAACCATATGCATATTACCTACATATAATTGTTGTGAATGCCTTGAAGTGCTAAGGTGAATGCGGGACGTACAAGTAAGTTCAGGTGAGTTTATGGTGTTATTTGAAATGATTGAATTATGGCATGACTATATTAGTGTTTTATGTAACTCTAACACTGTCGTACAGGTTGCAATAATAGGCATCTCTGACACTGTCATGTAGGTTGCAATAATAGGAAACTCTAACGCTGTTGTGCATGTTTCAACAATAGGTAACTCCGACATTGTCGTACAGGTTGCAATAGGCAACTCCGACACTATCGTACAAGCAACTCTGACACTGTCGTGCATGTTTCAATAATAGGCAACTCCGCCATTGTCGTACAGGTTGCAATAGGCAACTCCGACACTGTCGTATAGGTTGCCTATGAGTCGTACAAGTTGCATTAGGCAACTCCGACTCATGTGTTATCATAGATTGATCTATGAGTTGTACAAGTTGCGTTAGGCAACTCAGACTCATGTGTTATCATAGATTGATTTATGAGTCGTACAGGTTGCGTTAGGCAACTCTGACTCGTGGGTTATCATAGATTGATGAGCACCTAATTTTATTATGCTATTGCCGATATGTAGTGATTTGGAATATTTCTGGATATACTGTTGATTTACATTTGATTTCATACTTATACGTAGTATGATTTCCTGGAAACTATAAAGGTATTACAGTGAGAGATTATATCGTTTAGAAGGTCATTATTAAAGCTTTATTGTTAGGCCCACTCACTCTTGTTTTTTTTATCCCTCCAGGTTCTAGTAGCAGAGTTTTCGTATCGACGAGGATTTGTGGCAAGTCTTGGTATTGGAGATTACCTTAAATGGTATGATTTTCAATCCACTTTACGGTACTTGATGCGAAATATATAAGCACACAAATTAAACCCTCTTTTTATCAATTGTAGCAAAGTATGTAAGTAGGGATCGTTCTAGGCCGGGGATTAGGAGGGATTGCCAAATCACTTGAAACTGACTCAAACGTAAAAACAAAGTCTAAAACACTAAACTAGACTCAAAAAATGCAAAACTAAACTATAAAACACTAAAACAAACCAAAAGACTCAAAACAGCAAATCAACACTCAAAACTGCCTTAAAAACACTTTCTGGGCAGTTTTGAACACCTAACACTAAATTGGACGAAATTGGGTTATGACTTGACTCCAGACCCTTAAAAACACAAACTAAATTAATTTCTACTTAATCCAACACTTTAAAATAAATGGGGAATTGGTTTTGACGAAAATTGAAAACAAAAACAAAACTTGTAAATTGAACAGATTCTAAAACGAATTTGAGAAAAGTGAATGGATGGAAAGCTAGCTAAGGGGTTCTTCTCCACACATGTCACACTTGCATACAAAACGATTTCCAATTGCTTCTCAATAAACCATGAATTCCCAACACCCCATTTTAACCGTGAATTGCACTAATTAACCCTCAGATTTTCCTTAAGTTATTGAATTGGATGAATTGCATACGACAACCCAAAGCATTCCCCACAAGTTCCCTACATGAATTGCATAATAGAGATACAAGCAAGAATCATTAAGTTCTATGAAAATCATAAGCATTGGCGAAGCACTCGTTACTATGAATTGCATGAAACTTATGCCAAGAATTTACTTAACACGATTGTGATCAACAACCTTTACTACTTGTGAATATAAGTTCATAACGATTAGGTGAAACTCCCTTATATCCTAGCATCAAACTTATGCATGAAAATTAAGTGTGCACTCTCAACCAACATACACAAATCAGTTTTAATTCATGTAGATAAGTAAATTGAATTCACAACTTATGAAACGCAATTAGAAGTAATCAAATCATATAGCAAGCATAAACATGGTTTCAAAATTCCCCCCTAGCCAAG